CACTTCCTTCCCCCCCCCACCCCCTGACCTCCCTCCCCCCCCCCACCACCTCACCTCCACCTCAGGCAACCCCGGTGCGGGCGCCGGCGGGTCGGGGCACACCGGGTTCCCAGCCATGCTGGCCCACGCCAGCCTGGGCATGACCCCCTCCTCCAGCATGTGGGCCGGCAGGGCGCGGATGTCACACACCGCCACCCGCAGGAGCTCCAGGAGGGGCAGCCTCAGCAGGCAGGCGGGCAGGCTGGTGAAGGAGTTGAAGGAGGCCTGAAGCTTCACCAGGCTAGTGCATTGGGACATGCCTTTTGGGGGGGTGGGGAAGAGGGGCCAGAAGGAGGGAGGAGGGAGGAGGAGGGAGGCGGGAGTTGGAGAGGGGAGATGGCGGGAGAGGAGGGGGGAGAGGAGGGGGGAGAGGACAAAAAGCTCTCAGTCCAGCGCAATCTCACCATCTGGTAAGTCGGTTAGGCGGTTGTTGGTTAGGAAGAGCTCCACTAGGTTGGTCAGTTGGGATATGCTGGCGGGTAGAGAAGTCAGCTGTGTGTGGTAAGGAGAGGGGAAAGAGGGGGGGAAAGCGGGTTCCTAGGGTTTAGCAGGAGCTGGCGGAGCACTAGCAGGGTGAAATGAGGACGCAGAGTGGGATAACATGCGATACCTGGTACCACTACCACTACCGCTACCAACCCCCCACCATCACCGTCATCACTGCCACCACGACCACCACCATCACCCCCCCACCACCACCATCACGGCTTACTGCCAGCAGCACCGTCACGGTCTGTCTCTTACCTCCTCCACCTAGACGACGACGGGGCTCTCGCCTGTGGCTGCTGACGCCACTGGCACTTAGTCCCGACTTGGCACGACTTCCCTTTGTGTGCACTTTTGCACCTGCCCTCTCGCCTGCCCCCTCGCCTGCCCTCTCGCCTGCCCTCTCGCCTGCCCCCTCGCCTGCCCCCTCGCCTGCCCCCTCGCCGCCTCCCTCCACCACACCTTGTTGCTCTTGAGCCCCAGCAGCCGCAGCTTCCTCAGGTCGCCCAGTCCCGCCGGCAGCGCCGCCAGCTCATTGCACATCAGGTTGAGAGTGTGTAGCCCGGTCAGCTGGAACAGCTCACCGGGCACTATTGGCGTGTCGGTAAGTGAACCAGTCCGTTAGCCATTCCGTTCGTGAACAGTCCGTTAGCCCATTCCGTCCGTCCGCCAGAAAATACACGCAAAGGGGGCAAATGGGGATCACACGGTGTCAGAAGCAGAGAAGCAACTGCCATTGACGTACGCAGGGTCGGAAACGGGGCAGCTGGGTCCATCGTCGCGTGGGGGAGGGGGGAGCAGTGTAGGGTTAGCGGTAGGGGTAGTACGTGGCCACCTCACCTTCCGTGAGCTTGTTGGATCCTAGATCCAGCTGCACGAGGCTGTGTGACAGGCGGCCGATCTCGGGAGGCACGTGTGTCAGCTTGTTGCGAGGCGCCAACAGCACCTGCGTGGAGCCGGGGGGCCGGCAGGGGCAGGGGGGCAGGGGGGCCCGGGGGCCACCCCAAGGTGTGGTAAGAAAGCGACCCAAATGCGGCTGTGTGGAAAGTAGTTGGAACGAACGGTTTCTCGAGCTGTGTGAATGGGTGCAGCATGGGGGAGTTGGGCGAGTGCAAGAGGGACCAGTACAGTTGCGTCGGTGTAGTTGCGTCAGTGTAATCGCGATAGACGCCATGCCATGTGATTTATAGGCGCATAGGCGCGGGTGTGTACAGGCGTCGGGTACAGCGGGAGGACATCCAGGCAGCCCAGGCTGCCCTCAGGCAGCCGGCGTACGTCCCCCATCCCCCGGCGTCCGACAGACCTGGAGATTTTTTAGCAGAGATATTTCAGCCGGCAGCTGCGCCAAGTTGCAGCCTTCGATATCGAGTCGCACGAGGTTGGAAAGCGTGGCTAGTTGCTGCACAGGTAGCGACACCAGCCGGGTTCGCAACTGCACCGTCGAAACGCGATTGGACAGCTGCGAATCGCTGGCTCCCTGTGAAAAAAATCACCTTAGATATCATCTTTAGGATACTTGGCTTGTGGTTTATAGTTTCCCGGATGCAGAGTACATACCGATTCGAGCTCTTCGACGGAATGTAGCGTGACTGGCTCTCCGACAGTTCCTTTCGGCGTTTTTTCCAATGCATTTCTGCGTTTTCGCCGAAGCACTACCACCGCTTTGCCGATAGCCACCGCCGTGCCAGATAGCGCCACTGCCAGGAAGGCCACACGGCGACCCATGCTTAATAACCAAAAGTAAATTAATAATAATACATGGTTTAGCTGGAAACGCATGGCCCAGCTCATCACACTGCCCGAGCTGGAATGGGGTACGGGTTACTTTGAAAATCTCCGACAGTTGGACCCAGAATAGCACGGGCGAGGGGAAGGAAAATAAACCAAGCCGGACCGAATTGTATGTCATTTTGGTTGCGCAAGTTTGTTGCCAATACGCGAAAGGTTGACCTTGCTCGAAAATGCCACCCTGACGTGCACCCTAATCGCTCCGCATAGCCTCGCTTAGAGCCATGGAAGGAGTTTCCACGGCCGCTGCTTCTGGTAGCAAAGCGCCTAGGCCTTTTCTCCGTCGTGGCGAGGGAGTGGAAAAGCGGGTCTTCGCATCGCGGTACAGGAAGGCCATTACTCCGGTCCCATCGAGCGCAGCAAATAGCAGCAGCTCTTGTGGTGGAGGTGATTCTTGGGGAGCTCCAGAGACTGCTGCTGGCCGGCGCGGCAGCCAGAAGGAGCCACCCAGGACAAAGCCACCATCGGACGCATGGTCCTGGGACGGCAAGGCCGCAGAGTTGGCGTCAGAAACCCAGCTCTTAAGCGTTGATCAACCTCCAGGTGATGCAGCGCAACAGGGGTTGGTTGGGCTGGGGTCAGGCTCTCTCGGCATGCCAACATGCCATCGCACCTCGATCCCACAGCAACTGATCCCCAACGACCCATTCTTGGTGTCGTGCGAAATGCCAGATGAACACTTGGACACCGGAACCACTGGCAACCGGTTCTTGCGCAACTCCCTGAAGGCTGCATGGGCTTCGCGACAGGCTGAAGAGGTGAGCGCACTACCTGCTGCCTACCGGCCCACCTGGGATTCAGGGACGCGCCTTGGCATATTAAACCTTATCCCAATGTGGGACAGGAGATGCCGTGACGGCTTCCAGCCTTTGATCATCACTTTATTGGCCAGGGGTGAAAGCCCTGCAATGCCAGTGACGTACGAATATGAAGCTGCATGCCATGAGGCGATTTGGGTTGGGCCTGATTGCCCTCTGTCTCGCCATGCAGGAGCTGGAGCTGGAGGAGTTCCGGGCGCTGGAAACACAAATCAAAGCGGATGTGGTTGGGGCAGCGCGCGCACGCCCTGACCACGGTGGTCAGGTGTGTGGCGTCGTGCACGAAGGGATGAGGGAGAGCAGCCCGCGGAGATCACCTGGCCACCTCTTTTACTGCCCTGCGACAAATGGGTTTTGCAAAGCGCTGTTTGCAGCTTGACTGCAGTGTGCCTCATGCCTCGCTCTCACAGGTTGGCTGGAGTGAAAACTGCTTCTTAGGGTTTCAGGTACATATTGTTATGTCCCTGTGAGAGTGTGAGAGGAAACCTCAACGCGCTGCGCTGCGCCGCACCGCATCCCCACCTGGAACCCTTCAGGCACTTCCTTCTTCGACAGTCACCCTCGCGCCGTCCGCGCCCCTTCGCTCCTACGCCGCCATACACCAGCAGCGCCCGCCGCAACCTAGCCACGGAGCGCCGCGGACCAACAGCCGCGGCAGCGACCCGCAGGCGCGCACGCACGCGGCCTGCGCGTCACCTCGGCCAGCGGGGCGGCACCGCTACAACGACGCCTTTGTTGGCGGAGCCGCGGTAGACGCTGATGATGAGTTGGCGGGCAGCTTTGGCGAACAAGCGGGTGGCGAAGCGCCTGGTGGGGATGAAGGGTCGGCATGGGGTCAGCAGCAGCAGCAGCAGCCCCTGTCCCCTGGCAAGTCAGGTGCAGCATCGGTGGCGGGTAAGGTGGGAGGCACCCGCGGCTTTGACGACGCAGATGCCTGGAACGACACAAGCAGCTTCTTTGGAGGCGGCACAACCGCCGTCGGAGGTGTTCGCAAGGGTGCGGCCGCTGCTGCTGCTGCCGGCGCAAATGGAAACCGTGCGCCATTGCGTGGCTCCGCTTTTTTTGGTAGACAAAGCCAGTCGCCCGCCTCGGCGGCGCAGCTAGATGACCCCTGGGCCGCGCCGGCGATAGGTGATGAGCAGTACGGCACGAGCCAGGAGGCCTTTTTGGATGATTGCAGTGGCTGGAGCGCTGACCAGCAGCAGAAGCTGCAGCCGCAGCCCTTGAGCCAAAAAGGTGCTGGGGATGAGGAACGCGGCCCTGACCAGCCCTTCGTACGTGCGCTGTTCAGCAAGCCGCAGCGACAGACGATGCAGAACGGCGGCAGCCGTACCGTGGTCAAGGGCACTGCTGGGAAGAGCCGGGCGGCGGCGACAGCGGCAGCGGAGCCGTCGGGGCCTTCAGCTGCAGAGCTAGAGAAAATGCAGCAGGTTGGTGGCTTATCTCTGTTGGGGGGTTGCTGCTGCTGCTTGGATTTTTTGGGGTGCTGGGCTTTCCTATCTTGCTTATGTCCGCATCTGGCCCACATCCAGTTGCTCTTCCGTCTCCTCTCTCTCTCTCTCTCCCCTGGTCAGGCTTTTCTGCCGGCGGGGTTTGGGCAAAGGACGTATGGACGTACCAAATAACGAAGAGAGTGGCTTCCTATCCGCTTTGATAAACTTTGATTGGTTTGCAGCTAAGAGAGGACTATTGGCGAAAAACTTTCTTGAAAAGTGTTGAGAACTAGGTTGAACCAGGATTTTGAAGTTACGAAAGGGGTTAGTAGGTGGCGGTGGACGTTTTGCCTACCGAACGAAGAATTGGAAGGCAACAGTTCTCTGCTTTCCTTCCTACTAGTGTGAATGTATCATATATAATAATGCTTTTGAGTAAGGCGATGCCGAATGCTTCGTCAAGTCGACAGAAAATTATTTGGGTAAGTGCCTTCGTCGGTTGTCCATGTTAAACGATGGAGCAATCAAACAAACCAGCGCATTTACTGTGACCTGGACAGACATCGGTGCGATGGCTTCGTCATCGGATTCGTGATATGCTTAAATGTAATCGCCAGCTGGCTTGTTCTCCTCGACCGCTGCTCAGCTTGGCATGCGGCGACATGTTAGGCTTTGCAGCCTTCTGACGGCGTGATTTCTAGCCAGCTCGATTATATATTAATTACATTAATTTACATTAGCTGTGTGTATTCCTACATATTGTTTAGCTTGTGTGTATTTTTTTAGCAAATGTGTTCCATGATCAGCGCTCCGGACATCCTGAGCACACCTTTGCGCTTTCGCTTGGCTGCCTCAAACTTTAAATTTCTGCAGGTCCTTGAGGAGCAATTGGCCAATGTGGCATCGGAGCGGTCAACGCTGGTCCGGATGCGCACGGAGCTGGAGAAAGCGGCCAACCGGCTGGAGCAGGAGCGGCAGGCTTGGGAGAAGACGCGGGTGTGCGGGGAGACAATGGGCGGAAGGGAGGGCCATGCGGGGCTGGAACACTGCCGGTCCTTAATACAGGACCGTCCTCTGACATCGGCGAATCACTTCTGCTTGCATGTCGAAAAAGGGCTCAGAACTTCATGTCTAGGGAAGGGCTATAGGGGTTATTTCCGCTCGGTGGCCATCCACATAACCTGCCTTTGCTTACCCAGTCGGGCCCAGCCAAGCCTACCCAGACCAGTCGGGCCGGCGCGTCTCAGATATCCCCACGAGTTTCCTAAACCCCCAATGCTAGCCGACCGTCGTTTCGGACGTGTAGCTCACATCTGCCGGGCTGGTCAGGTTGGACCTGCTGAAGCCTCGCAGGCGAGGTCCACGCGCCATGCCCAAGGTACTGGCCCTGCGCCCTGCGTCCCTTCCCGCTATAGGCGGAGGAGCAGGCGAAGTGGGAGGCGCAGCGGGAGGCGGAGGAGGGCAAGCTGCGCCGGGATCGCCGTGTGCTTGAGAAGCAGAGCAAGGCGCTGCTCAAGCTGCCCAACAAGAAGGAGCGCACCGCTATGGAGGGTAGGTTGCCTTGCTACTGGCCGCACGTGGATGGGGCGGGTGTGTGTGTGGGGGGGGCTGGATAGGGTGTATATATAAGGCCTCCAGGACGGCCTTAGGGGGCCTTTCGTGGCCAGGAGGTTAGGAGGAATATACCGCAATGCGGATATGACGCCGGGCTGCGATAACAGCAGCAGTAGCAGCAGCAGCAGCGATTTTCCGTTTGCCGGATGATTTGCTTCCTCTTTTGGGGCCCATGCAGTGTAGTGCAGTATACTGAAAGCAGTCCCGAGGGGTGCTCTTTAATGAGCGCACGGCTTCCCGGGCGGCGCCGTGAGCGAATACCTGCAGAGCATGGCCAATCGAGCGACATGGCGCTGGACACACATACATACACATACACACACGGCCCTGACCCGCCCCTGTCCTTGCCACACCTTCAGCTGCGGAGGCCGCGCTGGAAGCTGAGCGCCGAGAGGGCCGGGCGCGGGAGGCCCGACACAAGCTCACTGTTGAGCGGCTGCGCCGTCAGCTGGTCGAGTTACAGGTAAGGATGGGGTGAGGAGGGAGGGGGCACGGCGAGGCGCGCTGCGGCCGGGATGGATCAGCGGATAAAAACAGAGGAAGAAAATCGTAGAACGCAGATCAAGCGGATGTCGGAGGGCGACGAAGGCGATGGGTGGTAAGGAGGCGAGAGATTGTAAGGAGCGCCAGACTACGCCGTGGGGGAAAGGAATTCACAAGTCGATTTTTCTCACCACCGTTGATTTGGTATGGCTGCAAGACCGTGCATCATCGCACGGGGGTCGCACGGAGCGGAGTGGACTTTGACCGTGAAGGAGAGCTGGATCGTGCTCTTCCTTTGTGATATGGAGCGCACAGCTTTTCCACCGTACAGCGGATATGATCCTTTAAGAATTGCTTTTAGGAGTCGATTAATCGCGCAGAGCTTACCAAGCCGATTTCTTGCGTACCAAAGCCGTACCAAAGCGCCTGTTCGCCGAAATCGCACAGAAATGACGCATTTGCATTTGGCCTGGTAGTACCGTACAAGACACTGCTGATGCTCCCAAAATTGGACGGCAGATGTGATACAAGCAAAATAGAGTCATAATGTGGTCATGATGTCTGCCAGCCGACACCTTCAATCGCCACCGACTGCTTAATGGCCTATGATTAAGCACGAAAATGCAGCTAATTTTGAGTGATGAATGTCCTGAGATTGTCAACCAGACCGATAGTTGCGGTTGGACACATGTCGCATGCCATGGTGGCCAGGCCCCCCACAACTGGTCAGCGGCCGCAGATATTTCCCCAGCGTGTTGTCAGCTTATGGTGATGACAGGCGACGAAGCAACCGTGTTGCTTGCTGTCACGGTAAATGGGCGAAGTCACGTCTCTAAATGGCATTTGACAACTGGCTTCGCATTTCTTAACCTCCTGAGTAGAGAATAAAAAAATCAAAAAACCATATGTTGTCGCGTTTTTTTACATTACTGAAGCGGCCTTTAATAAAGGACAAATGGTTCGTTAGAGTTTAGGCATTGAACTTTTTCCAGGTGCCCGCAAGCACTTCTCACTAGGCCCAGCTTATGTTTCTGTGCGGCATCTGATTCTTCTTCCAGGATACGTTTGTATTTGGGCCACGGATTGCCCCCGTAAAATCCCTACCCTTACCCCAACCCACCGTCGAGGGCCACGAAAACCTTGCAAAGCCCAAGGTACCAGTGAGCGACAGGCAGCTTTATTTTTGGCTTATTGCCTGAATGTACATGCCCATCCGAAACTCCGTCGGGATGGCCGCGATGGACGTTCCCTCCCAACCGCTCATGTGTCGTCCTGGATATGCGACAGCAGATCCACGCTACGCATACCCGGTGGCTTGCAACTACTCGACCTACCCGCGCTGCCGCTTTATTTGCTCTCTTCTGTTGCAGGAGCGCAACCAGGAGCTACGGGAGGAGGTGCGCTGGCACGAGGCACAGCAGCTGGAGCGGGGCTGGGGCTGCCCGGCAGGAGCTGCAACCGGGGGAGGCGCCAGTGCCGGCGCCAAAGGAGCGGGCCCAGGCGCCGCGCCGCCTCCAGCCAAGCCGCGTCCCGGTCGGACGATAGCGGTGCAGACGGAACCGCTGGCCTTCCTTCCCCCCTTGGAATGCGTCGGGGCGGGTCACGTGAGCCAGCCAGATACCGCCACAAGTCGATCCTTTTCCGCACCTTTCGGCGGCCCCCAGCGCGCGGACGGCGGGCCCCCAGCGGTTATCGTGGCAGGCAGCAGAACTAAGTCCTCAGGGATGGCTGCACCCAGTGTGGGCGGCAGGTTGAGGGGCATGCAGACGGTTGGAAGAGGGCATGCAGACGCCTCGGTGGGCGCCGTGCAGCCGGCACAGCCGACGTCATGGCGCGCTGAGCGGGCGGCGGTTCGCAAAAGCGGTAGCCCGCTGCAGTGGCAGGCAAGTGTGCCGGGTAATGAGGGAGATGAAGGGCGAGAAAGTGGCGTGGGTGGTGCTGGCGATGGAGGTGAGGAAGCAGGACCTACGTACTACGGGCATGACAAATTTCGCACGCAGCGGTGCCAGAAGCAGCTTCGATCGCAGCGGGAGCTGCGCGGATTAGGGGCGCGGCCTGACTCTCCCTCTTCCTCCCTGCTGTGGCAGCAGGGCAGGGAGCAGGCGTACGACGTGGGCGACGAGTACGACACAGGATGCGGAGGGGAAGTGGATGCGGAAGAAGACTTGGGGGAGGTGGAGGACGGGGAAGCCGAGCTGCTGGGAGGAGCGGCCAGGTGTGGCGGTGCTGGTGGCGGCGGTCGCGACGGCGTTTACGTCGGCTGGCGCAGGGGCGGCGCATGCGCGCCATCGGGTCCTGGATCTCCATCGTCTTACAGCTATGTGCAAAACGACGATGTGGAGGTGCGCACACGCACACGCACACAGCACTCGTGATGTGCAAAACGGCGCCGCGGGTCTCCGACGTTCGGGGTCTCCCAGTCCGAACTGGCCCTCCGGTTCCAAAACGCTAATATAATGGAGGGCACACACGGCGCCTGGGAAAGGATGTCTAGCTTTTCCCGCACTGCATGGCGCAATAGCTAGCTCTGGGCTTACCTGCTGTTACGTGTGGCGCACTCCTGCTGCTGCTGCTGCTGCTCCTGGCGCCCACGCACGCTCGATTCACTAAATCTTGTTTCCCTTCTTGGACCGAAAATCGTGGACCGAAAAAGGAACATGAAATAATTTACTGCGTGTCACCAGCTCTACAAAAGCAGCATTCGGTTCTGCCGGTCTCGTGTGTCCCGCGTGACAGCCTTCACAGCCTGGGCAGTAGGAAACGTGACGTAGCTTGCCCTGCACCGGGCATCCTCCTCCTCCCCCTCTTCCTCCTCCTCCTCCTCCTCCTTCTACGCAGGTCCTGACGGACGAGGCGGCCGGACCTGATGGCGCGTACTCCGACAGCGTGTCTGCAGTTGCGTGGCGGCAGCACCAGGACTTCATGAACAGGGTGGGACTGGAGCCGGGAGACGGCCGTCGCCCAGGTCCCCCTCCCGCAGGCTCGGAAAGTCCGCGCCAAGGCCGCCGTGCCTTCCCCGGCGCCGCTGGTCCGCGGCAGCAGCAGCAGCAGCAGCAGGGCCAGCAGCGGCAGCAGCCCCTGCCGCCGCCTTGGGGCCGCGCCGGCGACGCGGACGCGTCCAGCGCGCAGGAGTTCAGCAGCACCCATCAGCGCCCCGGCACCAGCGACCGCCTGTCCCGTCCGCCTGAACTCCAACAGCAGGACCAACACCAACACCAACACCAACACCAGCAGCAACAACAACAAACGGTTTGGCAGGCGTACGGACCTGGAGGCGGGCAGCAGTCTTCGCGGCAAAGCGGCTCGGCAGGTCGTCCCGCAGCGGCTGCCAGCAGCATGCCGCCGCAACTCGCGACGGATCTACGAGGGGGCCCGGCACCCTGGGAGGAGGCATATCCCGACCAGGAGGCTGCCACTCGGGAGCCCCTCCCTGGCTCGTCTCAGGGGGGCCCTGCAGCATCTCCGCCTGGAAGCCCACGCTGGGCAGCACATGGTGCGCCACCTGGGCCAGGTCCTGGCGCTGGCAAGGGCGCAACCGCTCCGAGGGTCTTTTTCGGGCCCCGCGGCAGCGAGGCGGCACCTGCGGCTGCGAGAACGCGGGGGGGGATCCCGCCGGCGGCTGGGCAGACCAGTGGGCCCACCAGTGCAACCGCACCGGCGCCGGTGGTGGTTTCGATGGCGGTGAGCACAGGTTCTGGGCGGTCTGCTGGGCACGGGTCGCCGGCCCGTCCTTCAAGCCCTCTCCGCGGCTCCCTGGCGGAGCTTGATGGCGTGAGCCAGACACTGGCGGCGCTCCGCATGGACCGCCGCGTCGAAGCGGCCGCCGCCGCTGCTGCTGCCGGGGGCGGCTCCACCGCCAATGGCGCTCCCGCGGCTTGGCCCGGGGTTCCAAGCCTTGGCCGCCCGCCGCACTTTGCGGCTGCGACAGGTCAGGCCCAATCGCAGGCGGGGCCAGGTTCGGGGCTGCAGCGAGGGCTCGGATCGCAGCGGCCTGGGGCCGGATCCCCCGAGGCAGGTAGCGAGGGTGGCTGGCCAGGGGATGTCTGGTCGCCAAGATCTCGCGGCGGACCCGCCCGCGAATCGGCCAAGTCGCAACAACCTTCCTCAGTCGCCCCGATGGCGTGGGGCCCGGGGCCGACGGTGGGGGCAGTGGGGACGAATGGCAACGTGGGAGGTGGGGTCTGGGATGGCGAGCCCCTGCAGCAGCGGCAGGCGCAGGACCAGCGACAGTGGCAGGGATTCCCGTCACTCAACTCCTCGCATGCACAGCCTCCAGGGCAACAGCTGCCCAGACAACAAATGCACCTCCCACCCCCGCCGCCTCCCCAGCAGCACCAGCAGCACCAGCAGCACCAGCAACCGCAGGTGGCGCAGCCCCCGCTTCGCCAGCAGAACGCGGCAGCCGGCCACGGTAGTAGCAGCGCTGCGGCACCAGGCTCCCAGTGGGCCCACAGCACCATGAGTGCCTCCGCGGCCAGTGCCGCCTCCGTCGCGCATTCCGTCTCTTTCCAGCAGCACCTGCAGGGCGCCCGCACAAGGCCCCCGGGGCCCCACGCAGGAGCAGGGAGCCTTGCAAACGGCGCCGCGAAAAGCAGCGCCAGCGGTAGCGGCGGTGGCGGCGCCAGTGGTGGCGGTAGCGGCGACGGCAGCGGGGTCGTCGGCCATGTCACTGGCGGGAGCAGCAGCAGCAGGTCAGGAGTTGACTCGCTCATTAGGGAGGTGCGCCACGCGGATGGCAAAACGGAAAGGATGTATAGCTCCGGAACCAGGCTCGTGCTCTTTGCCAATGGAACCCGCAAGGTAGGAGGACGGGAGAAGGGGGAGGAGGAGATGTACAATCGAGGTTTGAGGTGGTGAATCAATTTGTTCAACACAGGGGTTGGTTGGGGAGGTGAGGATGGGAGGAAGAGAGGGCGTACCGGAATCGCAGCAATCCAAGTTGGGTTGGGTTGGGTTGGGTTGGGTTCGCTTAAGCTGAATACTTTTGTGAACGCATTAAGCCAACAACTTTCAAATCTACAACAAGCATTATCAATTGCATGAAGTGAGAAAACGTTTTTGAGCTCTGAAGTGGTTTCGGAGGACGAGCCGGAGCCGGAGGGGGCGAGCAAGCACAGGTTTCTCGTCCTACCTGGCCGTCCCGCACCTCGGTAATGCTGTCGGCCGCAGGTGGCGCTACTTGACGGGAGCTCTCGAGTCTACTTCTCGAACGGGGACATCAAATGGTCCATTCCCTCCGCAGCAGCCGCATTTCGCAGTCCTGCTGCCGCAGCTGCAGCCGGCGAGGCCCCGTCACCGCCCGACGTGGCTGTGGTGCACTATTACTACGCAGAAGTGGGCACCTGGCACAGCACTTACGGCGGCGAGGGCGGCGTGGAGGTGTTTTACTTCCCCAGCGGCCAGACGGAGGCTCACCACCCTGGCTACGGCAAGGAGATCATGTTCCCAGACGGCGTGCTGCGCGTGGTGACGACAGACGGGTGCGTGTGTGTGTATGTGTATGCATATGCATTCGTGTGTGGTGTGTGTATGTATGTATGTATAGGGCGGTATTCCACCTTATCCCACTTCCTTCACCTTGGCCTATTATTATCTCACACCCACACTCGCATACCCACACTCGCATACCCACACTCGCACACCCACACTCGCACACTCACACTCGCACTCACACTCGCACACTCGCGCCCGCAGGGAGGAGCTGGACATCGGCTGGCCCCAGCTGTCCTGGGCAGTTCAGCAGCCGCAGCCCCGAGTGGACGACCTAGGTGACGACGACCTGTGACCGGGACGGACTGTGTCGCCCTTTGACCCACTGGGGATCACTTACTTCAAGGAGATTGAACGCGGCGGCTCCGGGGCCCCTCCTGGGCCGTAAGCCCTCCTCACCTCCCATGCGGTCCCTGCCCCGCTGCGCAATGGCAGCGAGCGCCCCCAAGCTGTGCATCCCACAGAAACGCTGCCCTAGTCAGGTGTCGTAGCAGCCAGTGTTTTTTGACGTTGCAAGGCAGGGTAGAAAGCCAACCGTCCCGAGAGACGCGCGAGACGTAACTTTGGTTGTGAGAGCACCCGCAGGTGGTGTGGTTGCAGGAGGGCCGTAACCCGTCGCCATGTCTTGGAAAAGTCGTCGTGGCCGGCCGCCTAACCGCCGCCAAGCAGCGGGTGGGGCTTTTGGCGACCCCCAAGCACCCAATCGGTATCGCATGTGGGAAAATAGCGATCGGAGGTGAGGGATGGGGGCGCGCTGTGGATGAATGGCTGGAGGTTGAGAGGGGAGGTGCGGATGGCGCTGAGTTTGATGACGTCGGCGCCGCCAGTTGGGTGCCGCTTCCTCGGACGTTGGTGCGTGTGTGTGTCTGTGTGTGTGTCTGTGTGTGTGCGTGTGCGTGTGTGTCTGTGTGTGTGTGCGTATGCTTCTTGTTACACATCGATCCGGGCCTGACACTGGCCAGGGGGGGCACCTAACCGTATACCCCAACGGGAACGGTTACCGCCGAAGCACTCGCGCCCCTTGCGGCTGGAGGAGAGGGGCGTGAAGGGTCCCCACAGCCCCCTCCTGCTCGTCCCAGGGCGCGCGACCCACCCTGAGTCTCCACCACACCTAATTGATCATGAAAGAGCGCACGGTGGCTACGAAGCCTCTCACGCCCAACGCACGCGCTGCGGTATGTGTGTGTGTGTGTGTGTGTGTGCGCGCGCGCGCGTTCGCATAAGAGGGAGAGAGAGGGTTGGGAGGGAGAGGGTTGGGGAGAGAAAGAGGAGTGGGGAGAAAGAAGGAGAGGGTCGTGCGGCGGCGTGCCTGTCAGGTGACTACTCGCCAGCCACGGTGACGACGTGGTGGTGGTCGCCACGAGTAGCGCGACCACCACCCGGACAGACATCCATCATGTCGGACACCACGTTACTTGGTGATTACCGAATCACGACAACGGTTTTAAGAGATGAGATGTATTTTATTGCTAGCGCGCGCGCGTGACAGACATCCTGCATGACTGCATCTCCGTATGTATGTCACCGACGGCTGTTGGGTGCCCTGGGAATTGGCTTGCCCGGGTGGCGAGGCACTGAATAGGGAACGTGTGTGTGTGTATATGTGTGTGTGTGTGGGGGGGGGGAAACGTGTATGGGGGGGGGAAAGGGAAAGTGTGTGTGATGATGAGGTTCGCTCCGGGCTTGTGTGTATGCTGCCAAGGGGAGAGCGGGCCAGGGGTTAATGCACCGATTCGGTTTTCGGGTCCCCGCGAACACACACACACACGTGTGCCGCCAACCACCTGCATTTGATGCGCGACCAAAAGTTGGGGGTTGGGGAGCCTTGTTTTGCTGCCCGGCGGCCGCTCTTTCACCGTGGGGGAAGGGCACGTGGAAAGAGACCTGCCTTTCGTGTCTCTTATCTAAGCCGTGGCCGGCTGGGGTACGGGCCCTGACGGGAGAGTGGCGCCCCTTTCCTTGGCATCGTCAACCTACCCACCTTATCATTCGTCCCAACTCCCTTCAGGTTTTTTATTTTTGGACCGAACGGCCATAAGTCGAATGACGTATGGGCGGTCCCACATCACCAAGAGACTGCGGGACCTTAGCTTTTTCTCTCAACTTAGGAAACGGCCAGGCCCCAGGCGCGAAGCGCCTTTCGGGCGCCCGGCAGTCAGTCAGTCAGTCAGTCAGCATCGTGTCTCATGATGGACTCGCATGCCAAGCTTAGCTGAGAATTGCATTTATAAGCTACTACAATTTTATTATAAACCTGTGCGCGAAGATAGCTTCCCGCTGGCCATGGCTTTGGCTTCCCTACCGCTCTCGAGGCTAGGCTTCGCACCGCGGATTGCAGGTTGATACATCACTCCAACGCCGGCGGGCGCCGCGCCCGGCCCTTTCAGCTTTTCCTTGATAACAATGAGAGCGTATATGTATAGTCCAAATACACGACACCGTTCCTCCACTTGCAGCCCAGTGCCGTACAGCCTCTCCTGCGGAATGCTGTGGGGCGACTACTGGCTGCACTGGGACCGTTGGCCCTTTTTGTCTTCGAAGCAGCTGACTACCCTAGAGTCCTGTGCAAGGTCGAATCCTTTCATTCTTGGCATCCTAGCAGCGGAGCCAGCCAGCTAGCCAGTCCCACTAGCTATGAGAGAAGCTCGTCGACTTCGTTGTTTGCCTCCCCCCATGCTGTCACACATCATTTTCAAGTCAGTCTCCAGTACGCCGTACTCCGCTGTCAAAGCTGCAGCAGCCATGTGACGTGACATTATTCTCGACCACCGTCATCATCATCATCACCAGCGCTATGGGCTGCTGCGTTTTCCATCTTTTGACATTAGAGTTGTCGCCCCTCTTTTCACCCCCACCACCCCCCACCTCCCCGGCGCTTCCCATTGCGTGTCGCACACCGGGGCTGATATGGCGGCGGTATTCCGGACATCCTTTCCCCTTTTTCCCTCTTCTGTTGGCGCATCCACATGTCGTCATCCTCGTCGTCGTCGCAGCGGCCGTGTCTCTTTCAACAATCGCACAATAAATACTTGGCGGCTCCAATGTGGTGGCGCCAGGCTTTTTCCCCCCTGATATACTTCCCACGCTCCTCACAACAGCCGTGGTGCCCCTTGGGGGTCATTGCGAACCACTGAACTAATGCTGGCGCGCCGTACACCCAGTATGTAGTACACCCAGCCGTGCATGGACATGAAAACCGCCATGCGTGTACGATGATGGCCCCTGGGGACTGTCCCGGTAACCGGCGTGCATGCGTGCACTTTCAGTCGCGCGCCCTGGGCGCCGACATGCGCGTTTACAACGCATACATACATACATACATATATGCATGCAAGTACTGTAAAAGTGCTCAAGTCCAAGAGAAAGCACCAAGACAACGCTCGGGACGCCCCGAGAGAGTGCATGAGCGGATTAAAACACCCCCATACCACCCCTCCAGGGGGGGTCGTTCTAGCTCTCTCCTAGCTCTCTCCTAGGTCTCACCTTTCGGCTGCGCCCGCGCCCGTGTGCAAGTGTGGCATTGGATGCATTGAACCAATCACTGATAAAAAAACACCCACATATGAGTTTGCCTGGCAGCGCGATACGGTGGAAGATGCAGCCCTGCTGCTGTGGTGGCGATAAGAGGGCGGCAAGGCGGAGCGGTGAGTTCGGGAGAGGAGAGGAGGGTCTTGCACTCAGGGCCGTCACGCAGTGTGCCAGTGCTGCCAACACGACGCCGCTGCAGCGCATTTCGTCCTCTTCGTCTCTTCGGTGCCCGGACCGCTCGCCCCGGTCCTCCTTCACGACCGCCACCTCACCACCATCACCATCACCACCACAGCCGGTGGCTTTCCAACCCCGCGAAAATTAAACTTTGGTGGTACAAGCAGTAACCGCGTGGCCGCAACTGCACACACATGCATGGAACATAGATACAGACAAACACACCATGCGCTCCGCGTCTTTTGGTCTGGCGCCTCCCATATAGCCAACAACAACAAATTCCCCCACAGCTCACACAGGCCAAAACGGAAACGGAAAAGAAAACGAAACACTGTTGTGTCGCGCCCTATTAGCTGCTCTTAAGTTGCCCCTTCCTCCCTTCCGCTCCTCCTCCGCCTTTCTCTACCATCAGCCCTCCACAGCGCCGCCAGCGATAACAAAGCCAAGTGCAATTACAGTAGTAGCATTTTAGTTCCTTCTTTGTCTCGTCCTCGTCTACCTGCTCCGAGTATCCAAAAGTACATCACAGCATCACACAGTGTGTATCTATCAGCAACGAGGTCCGGTACCAGAGCGCGCACCACACGCTAGTCCATTACGCCTTCCCCCTCCCCCCTTCCCCTTCCACACACTAAAAAACACACACACATACACATACACACATGCGCCCAGCGAGCGTTTGCTTCATCGCGATGACGAGGCACCCTCGCCACTCGCTCTCCAAAACGGCAAAAAAGCCCAAAGACCCGTCCTTCAAGAAATCTCATCTCTACTAAGTGTATGTAGTCATACACCCAATAACTCGGCTCTCTGCCAGCCTCCCCCACAACTCCTCCCCCCCCCAAACACACACACACAAACACACAACCGCGGCCGCAGCCAAACAGCTTCCCGAGGAACCCTGATTCCGTTCTTTGGGAAGGATCAGTTCACATCACACACTCCGCACACACCTTCCCTTTTTCGGGTGATCGCCAACCCAGCCCAGTAAAACAGTTCGCTTAAGACCCTCTTCTTCCCTCCCTTTGTCTGTCGTACGATACTAATAGTACGGCACTGGTACGGCACTGATGCTATAGAGGGCATGGTATAGGACGCACCAATGTTTTGGAGCGGTCTGAATAAAAATTCAGACACTCTCAACCCACATCGCTCTGCCCCTGCCACTTCCACTTCCACTTCCTACCGTGGGAACAGAAAATGGCATCAGCAATTTGCCGCAACGAGCTCGCCAAGTTTCGGCAGTTCGTCGAGTATTCCAGGAAAAAGAGAGGTGTGATGCCGCGCAAAAACACACGCGGCATGGCGGCGGCGGAAAACGCCACGATGCTATGCAGCACCAAGAATATTAGGAATGAGCACACAGACAGACAGACAGACAGAAGGACACTCCCAGAAGGGACCTCTGCCTGCCTTACTAATTATGCCGTACTGTGCCATACTATAGTGGCGGCATAAAGGCACTAACGTCGGTCCCCCTCCCCCGTGCCTTCGACAGCACAGCACAGCAGGACACACAACACATGAATACGCCGCCTGTTTGCCGCCACGTTTCTCTGCCGCAAAAACCGCATGCCGCAAATACCAAACCCCATTTTTTCACGCACACATACATACATACATATAGTTACTCTCGTTCTTTTTGTCTGGTTGGCTCTTAAGTACACACACACACACACACGAAACACAGGAACACAGGGACACACACACACACCACATACACACCATGTCCCAAAAAAGGCATCAGTACATGGGCCCCCCAACCCTCCCCCCAGCCACATGCAAATATACATGCATGCATATGTACATGCATGCATGCATACATACATACATACATAAAAAGACAACAACACGAGAATCTACGGCGGTCGCCCGCCTAAGTGCATGTGAGGGTGGGTCAGTTACCACCTCAACGGTCCGAGCGACGTATTTGGGGCTTATGTGAGCCGTGCAATCGTCGACAGACAGACAGACAGACAGACATCCGCACAGGACAAGAAGCGGCTGGCCACCACCATCCCTCCCCGGCTGCATACTAATCGAGAATCCTCTCACACCTCTCCTTACCCCCCCTCTTTACAACCCCCCCCGCCCCCCCCCCAGGCCATCTGCGTAGGCCGCCTCCGAGCGCTCTCATACCTGCTGACGTCAGGCTGGAGGAGGCCACACACATACATACACATGCACACATACACGCATGCACATGCAGGCAACTGCACCCCCTCCGACTTGACAGCTGCTATTGCCTAACACCTACTGCCGTACTGGTTACTGCCGGATCGGTTACTGCCGTACATACTACAACTGACAATAATAATAGTGGTGATGATGATGATGACGAACGAGAACAAGAAGCATGCATGCATGCATACATACATACATGCACACGTCGCGCAACTCATCCCAGGACGCACTCCGCCCATTCTCGCTCGCATAGCTACGGCCTTATACCCTTCACCTTCACCACCTTCACCACCACCACCACCTGCTACAACCCAACGGCCAACGGGCAGCTTGAAACTCCTCCTGGCTCCCACCCAGCACCACCTCGGCAGAGCTTGAGATGGCACTCGCGGGGTTGGGGGCATCACTGATGCTGGCGCTTGCGAGCTGGATTGGGCGTGTCGTCCCCCCCGTCGCCAGAGTCCCCCCCTTGCCACCCTCCCGGTGGTGGTAAGCGTTTCAGAGGTCCCGACGGCGCCGTCGCCGCCGCCGCTGCCATCGCTATTGCCGTTGCCGCCGCCGCTGGTGGTGGCCTCCGCTGCGCCGGGTCGACCTGGCGGAGGGCACTCAAGGGGCGAGGCGGCAGCGGCTGAACTGGTCCTACAAGCCTGCTGCTCTGTTGCTGCTGATGGTGCTGTCGCGGTTGTTGACTCAAGGGGAGGGACGCCGCCGGGGCCGCGTGCGGCTGGGAGCTCTGCGGTGGCGGCTGCAAAGACTGCGCCAGCGGCAGCGGCTGTTTAGACAGCTGATTCAAACCCACGGCATGCTGCGGAAGAGTCATTAAGCTAGCGGAAGCAAGCGGCGGCGTGACGGTCCCGCCGCCGCCGCCGCCGCCAGCACCGTTGGGGGAGGCAGTTTCCCCCGGTGGCGGCGGCGGTAGCGGCGGCGGCGGCGGCTGCGGCAACTCCCAGCCGCTTTCTGGATCTAGGTGCGTCCGCTGCCGGCCTTCAGGAAGTCCGGAGGACGAGGGGCCGTCGTCCCGCGTGGCGAAGACCGAGGCTGTGCGCGTCGGCTGTGGCAACGAGCCCAGTGCGGCGCCGCTGCCGTTACAGCCGCCATGGCTGCCGCTGCTGTATTGCCGTACGAGACCCGGCCGCGCATCATTTGGCTGCGCCGTCACCGTCGCCTGTACTGCAGACGCTGTTTGCTGCTGCTGCTGCTGTTGATGATGCTGTACGGCAGCCAGACCTGCGGCGGCCGCCATTAAAAGAGGCGTGGGTTGCAGCAGGCGATGTCTGGAAAAGGCGGCCGCCGCCGCCGCCGCTGCTGCCGCCGCTGCAAGCTCACATCCCCCGTCGCCGTCGCCGCTGCCGCCGGGGTCGCCGCCGCTCACGGTGCTCACCGCTGCTAGACAAGAGAGCCCTGCGGCCCCCCGCACGTCCTGCATCGACACGTCCTGTACGGATGGTGACGAGATCGGCAAGCCCGCGGCCTCCGATTGCGGCGATTGTTGCGACGCTACCAGCGCCATCAGCCGGGCGTAGGCCGCCGCCGCGTTGGCGGATGTGACGGAGCCGCCGCTGGTTCCGCCGCAACCTCCGGCAATGGTGACGCCGCCGCCGGTGCCGCTGGCGGCAGCAGCTGCAGCGGCGGCGGCTGCCGCCGCCGCAGAGCCGCCACCCGCCGCTGCACTTGCTGGCGCCGCCGATGCCGCCGCAGCCGTCAGCCGTCCAGCAGGGTCGAGAGGTGCT